ATATATATATATATATATATACATACACATATATATATATACATATATATATACATATATATACATACATACATATATAGTATATATTATACATAGAGATATACGTCTTCTAGTCCAGTGGTCTAGGACTGGCACTGCTCTGTGGGCCAACTGGTGCCGGGGCCGCACAGAAAGAATGCACAACTTACATTATTTCTGTTCTATTTATTATCTGATTAGAAACAACAACAGTTTTATTTTGAAAAAATCACCAGATTCTCTCAGCCGTATCTGTCAATGACTCACACATGACACATGTCGGGATGCTTGCCTCATTGCTACCATCCCAAGCTAGCAAAATGAACAAAAAAAGTTTCTTAGCGCAAAAGAGGTAAAAGAGCCAGCGAGGAGACAGATGAAGAGATTACGTCTTTAAAGAAGAAAAAAAAAGAAGGTATATTTAACAGACAATTCCAGGAGTCCTACTTGAAATATCGATTTATTGAGACAGGTTGTTCCCACGCACCAAGCCTGCGCTGCATCACACTCTCTAATGAGGCAGTGAAGCCTTGAAAACTGCTTGGCCACTTGGAGACTAAACATTCGGCATTAAACGATAAGCATTGCGAGGACGCTGCTAATAAAGCTGCATACACAGTGGCTTATTATTTATATTTATTATTAATAACAATAAAATATTATTATTAATATTTATCGTTTATTATTATATTAAGAAAATACATTTTAATTTAGTATTATTTTATTAATATTAGTATTTTATTTTATTTAGTTGTATTTATCCACCACACCTTAAGGGACGGTCCGTGAAAACATTTTCAGACATTTAACCAGTCCATAGCTCAAAAAAGGTTGGGGACCACGGATCTAGGCGAATAGACACTTTACACATACATACATACATACATACATACATACATACATACATACATACATACATACATACATACATACATTTTCGATGTTCGACCATGAAATTTTGACTGATACCAATCAAAGCATCGAATCCAAGCATCCCTAAAAATAATCTAACATTTATATTTGTGTACTTGCCAAATAATGTGTACTGTCACCAATGCTTCTGAAATATGCAATACACGGGAAATACATATGCAATCAACTGGAAGGCATTGTTATGTGGATGGTAAAGCTGTATGAAAAATAAAAAATAAAATGTTTTATTGAAGATTCAATCCAAAAGCTAGGCCAAAGATGTTTGGAACATACTTTTAGTTTTTTTTGTTTTTGTTTTTTTCTCCTTTGCCTTATGGTAAGTATTAGGGGCTATAAAAATAGATTCTTTACAACCCAGAAGTTGCTGTTCCGAAATAGTACACACGCACATAAACACAAGGACACACAAACGCAGAGAGCCGCCCACTGCCCCTCAAGAGTTGCATGCTAATCCTGTCACCATGACAACCATACATTACAAACCATAAACAGCAGCCTCAGATATAACAGGTGGGGAACAACTGGTTTAATACATCACACATTTGTATGACACCAAAATGAGAAAGTGTAGGACATTTAAAAACATCATCAACAACAACAACAACGCTTTAGAAACAAAATGTATGTGATGTCATATTAAAACCCTATAACATTTCATGTTTTGCACTGTGTCCTGCGCTTCAACAAAACTACTGAAAAATTACATAAATAATATTTTAACAAAGGCATGTAACAGGGCTGCTAAAATACATACACTGACAAGCCAGTATGACGAATATGTTTGAAAGAAAAAAAAAAAAAAAGCAACATAACAAACCTTTAGGGCACCTAAGACATAACCGCCTGACCCAGTTTTCCTCGAGATGAAGAGTCTTTGTCATGACAGTGAACACTCACTGAGGCGTTAAGTAAATACAGCGGTGCTTCACGACACTAGCTAGCCCGAAATACGAATTTTCCAAGTTATGAGTAAGCAACTTTTGCAAGATTTTTCCTCGTGATACGAGAAAACATCGAGTTACTCGAGTGCTCAACTGAGCTCCATTTTTCCACTCAACACTCGCTCGGTTATTTAACCTTTTGCTTTATTTCTCTCTCTCTCTTTCTCTCTCTCTCTTTCTCTCTCTCTCTCTCTCTCGAGCTTTCTATCATCTAAATTGAGTCTAACTTCCTATGTTTATTTCACAGTTTAAGGTTACAGTTCAGTTACAGTTTATTTTACAGTTTAAGGTTACAGTTCAGTTACAGCCGTCACAACAACCGATATGAAACTTATATGAAAAAATAAGTCCTGCTAATGTGAGTGTCAAATGTATAAATTCTCAAATTTGTAACGGAGACAACTTTACCTACACTTTTAAGGTGATGAGCCATGTTTGTAGTTCGGCTGTGATGTGTAAAGTATTGCAACTTATTTTCCATTATGTGTTTTTTTTTTTTAATTCTGCCATATTATCGATGTCTTTAAACATGGTAGAGGAGGACTGACTGTAAATGAAACGCTGAAAATAAAAATTAAAAATTAAAAAAATTCTCTTACATTTTTCAATCTGTTGGGCTAATACAAAATAGTAGTGTGCTACTATGCCCCCATTAGCACTTGGCACTTTCTTACTGATGAAACTAACGTGCCAAAAAATAGACCAATCAGATTTTTGCTCAAGTCCGAATGTACAGTATCGACCAATATATAGACCAGTCAACAGAGAGTGTTCTGTTTGCTAAATTATTCTGCTTATTAATTTCACTGATTTACAACTGACGATGTACGTAAGTTGTGTGACAATCACATGAATGTCCTTCCCAAAGTGGTTGAATTTGCTTAAACGCGGTGTGAAGAGAAAAGCAGTTGTAAGTCTGATTTCCTTTTAAAATAAAAGTCGCTGAGGCCGGGTGTGAGACGCGCAGAGCTTTGACAATTCACAGAGCGGGAAGTAACAACAGCTTGCGGAAAAAATGAGCCACACGGAATGCAATTCATTTTCATACGCTGTGAAGCGATGACGACGTTGACTCCGAGAGTGTGCAACATGGCTTCCTCTACCTTAAATATCCTGGGTAACGTAGCCAGGTCCTGTCCTGTGTCAAACTGCTGTCACTGTAGTGTATGAATAATGTTCATCTCCTACAGTTAAAGCTGAAGTAAAAAACAAAAACGGCGAAACATCGCCACTTGTACTTTTTGTACTTTTGTACCATTTGTACTTTTTTTTAAGGAGCTTCTTTTAAAGGATGTATTTACATTGCCACCGGTGTGCTTTGCAATATAAAACCAAAACAAATACATACATGTTTCATGCATCACTTTAAGTTTGAAGTTAAATTCTTCAAAGGTTGAATCGACTGAGGAGGAAGATAAAATATAAATGGAATAGAACTGCAGTTCCAACGCACAAAAGTCACACGTTACACCTAAGCCCAGGTGTGAGATGAAGAAGAAAGGAGTAAACCCATGCAATTTCACCAGAACAAAATGCCAAGATAGTAGGGGCATGGTAGGAGACCCCTGTGTGGAGGGGGGTATGACTTGGAGGAAAGAAAGTGTGTCACTGCTCAAATTAGACTAAGGAATTTGCGAATGAAGATCGGAGGAGGTTAGGTTTCACTTGGGGAGGTTGTCATGTCTCATGGGGTAAAATGCTTCAAGAAAACCTTAAGTTTGTGAGAGAAAAAAAAAATCAATAAACATGAATCGGAAGGTCTTAGTGACAAATGACTTGTTAAAATGCTGTGACTGATCATTTATGCTCAGGTATCATTGTTTCGACGTAAACATTTTCATGTGTTGTTACTTCATACCTTCCATTATGTTGTGTTACGTTGACATTTGCTCCTTAAATATCTCTATATAATAAGTCGATTGCAGTACGTAGACCTTATTACTAAACAATTATAGCAATAAACGTGTATATTTGTTCGCTTTTTTTTCCCTCAGCATTTGCTCTTCTATAACACTAAACCTAAAGCCTTGTATGTAGATCTAAAAGTAATCATTTAATTCCAATGTCAGTGTTAGGTTTGTAGTGCATGGACCAGACTGTACTGCTATATTTACGCATTTCTATTAACGTAACATTCATTATTGTTATTGTCTTGTTATTTACGTTTGCTACCACTGTTGTACCATAAAACAGTATTTTTTCCAAAATGTTCTTTGCGTCAATGGTAGAACGACGTAGCATATGACAAAGTCAATGCATTATCGCCGTCAGATAAGATGTATTCTTTGTCCCTTTTATAAGTGTGACGGGTTTTTTGGAATTCTGAAAAAAAAAAAAATTTCTAGATAGTAATTTATTTGTGAACATTGTGTCACTGAGCTATAAAACATACAGAAGTCATACTATCATTGCATTTGTCCTCTAATGCAAAGAGAACAAACAACATGTTTATACAAACATACAACATGTTAATATACAACATACAACATGTTAATACAACATGTTTTATTGTTTTATTTATGTTTTATATATATATTATATATTTTATATATATATATTTATACATTTTATATATATATTTATATATATTTATATATTTTATATATATTTATGTTTTATATATGTTATATATATGTTTTATTTATGTTTTATAATGTTGTATGTTAATACAACATACAACATGTTAACATACAAACATACAACAATGTTAATACAAAGAGAACAAACAACAAACAACAGCATGTCTGCTGCTCCATTTGAATTAATAAGAGTTAACGCTACAAATTATACTCAGGCAATTAATAGTGGATAAGATATGCTGTACTCAAAGATTCCTACTGCTTCAGTCTTGGTTGTCATTTACAATAAGCTGCTACTTGAAAAGAAAAAAAAAGTTAGGGATGCCAGGGCACATGCCAGGTCACATGACCGGCTTTCAGGGGGTTTAATCATGTCTGCATTGTGTCTGACCTTGGCACTGAACAGGTGTAGATATTTATGTTCTGTAGGTTTACAACAGTGAAGATAGAGTACAAGACGGTCAGAAACTGTCATTGGGAAATGTGGGTTGGAAAGGTTGTGGGTAATCATTTACTTGAGTCATCCATCGAATGTACTCAATTAGTACGATAGGATATTCATCCTCATTTTCCTATTAAGGCAATATTCAATGACATGAGTATTTCACATTTGGGACCTGAGAACCAAGGGATGAGACATTTAAATGATCGCTGGCCTTCTCTTAGTATTTTTTACACAAATGTTGTCATTCCGTGATATACATTTCAACTGCATGGGCTCTTCAATGAATGACAAGGACATTGTGGTTGTAGAGTATGAGGTTGACAGGCTCAGGAAGTGGCGTCTACGGAGGACCGAAAGAGCCAACATTAGAAGTTCTTAATGTTTTTTTTTTTTGTTTTTTTATTGTTGTGTTGTTATGTTTGTATTCACTGTAAGGTGTCCTTGGGTGACAGAAATAAAATGTATTATTATTATTATTATTATTATTAAAAACACATCATCAAATAATTACTTAAAAGTGTCATTACATAAATTAACAGATCATTACATGATTAATTAAAATTGAAAATACATAAATGTATCATTAATTAATTCATTAAAATACCGATTCATTTTATGTAAAAAAAAAACAAACAAACAATTATTTCACAATTTATTTAATTATTTCATGGTCCTAAGTTGTAGCGCATCAGGCCTTGGACGATAATCAACAAATCCATTTATCACGCGATAAATGCAAATGAAGTCGATCATATCGATCATATCGATCATATATGTTGTGCCGTGTGCGTCGGCACAACATCCAATCAAATTAGACCCACGTTGTTTTGACGCGATAATATCGAGTCAATCAAATTGCGGGACAACCAATGAGAAAGAGCTGTCGAACAATGCGCCGGTTAAAGAAAATTAGACCAACGATCGTGTTGTTCAGATTTAAAAAACTACGATATGGTCAACAAAAAAAGGAGTGGCAGTGAGTGGAAGGACTGGAAAGGACTCGAAACAGAAACGGCAGGACTTGGGACTTGACTTCACACTTTTTGACTTGGATTCGACTCGGACTTTGCCTATTTTGACTTGAGACTTGATTCGGACTTGAGTGCAAAGACTTGAGACTTGCTTGTGACTTGCAAAGCAATGACTTGGTCCCACCTCTGGTGACAGACAGTGTTGTTCGCTACATCTTAATTTGATAACACATTTATGTATGTAATTCCAATTTTAATTAAGTTATTAACAAATTTAAATAAATATTGAATGTATTTTTTTTATATATATTGGCACTTTCAGTCCTTCATAGGCGACATACCAAGCAGCTTTCTCTTTTTCCCTCTCCCTGCATTTTTTCATCAAACTCTTTGGCTATCCATCACTTTGTGTGCTGGTCTGTGTGCAGTGCCATAAATATATGTTGATACACAGCCCAGAAAAATGCACTTATACTAATTCACCGGGGATGGGTCAAAATCTGAAAACACAGAAAGGCGTCATCAACACGGTAACTAAAGTAATTATTAAGGAAACACGAGACAGAAAATAGATAGAATACACACAATAGGAAGGAAGCTAACAAAGCCGGACAGGAAATACAAGTCAAGGACAGACGCACAAAAATAAAACAGGGACCTTAAACAAGCCTTAAAAGAAAGTTGCTAAGCTCGGAAGAGACAAGTATAAACATAAATTAAGCTCCTCTTGTCAGTTCATTTGTTGAACAGTCTTCCTTAAAGAGGAATCTATTGTTTTAGTCTATAAAAATTGAATTGAAAACGTTTTGCTAATTGTGAGATTTTTTTACACGTTTATCATTAGCAGCAAATACCAAATGTGATATTTTCTTCCTGTTGAATATCCCTTTTAAAATATGGAAATATATATATACTCTGTATATATATATATATATATATGTATGTATATATGTATATATATTATGTATGTATATATATATATATGTATGTATATATATATGTATGTATATATATATATATATACACACACATTTAGAACAAAATATATTTGGTCATGTTTTACTGCACTGTGATAATACACTGAAAAATCATTTACATGTATTCAAAATGTTGGCAAAAAATATTTAATAAATGCATTTTGTTGATGGCTTTGATGAGGAAAATGTGATTTTGCTACTTGGCCTTTCTGTTACTGTATTAGTTGGCCTTCAGGCACTCTATAATAAAACTTATGTTGCTCAACGATGGAGTCGCTGCAATGATGAATTTAGTTTTTTTTTTTTTGTGTTTACATCTTTACCTCACAGGTTCCTGTGTCTCCAGAAATACAGGACCTAATCCTGACCATTATTCATACTGTTATTCGTGACTAATAACATCTAACTTAGCAGCACTACATTAACCCCTACAACTGTACTGTTTGCACAAGAACAGTTTACCTGACTCTACTTAGATTGTAGTGTTATAGGTCTGCTCTTTCTTTTTCTTCTCTCCCCCATTACCCCCCCCCCTTCTCTCTTCACCGAGTCAGCTCCCGCATTACCCCCCTTTCTCTCTTCACCGAGTCAGACGGCTAAACACCAAGCCTGGAACTGTTGGGATTTCTTCCTCTTCAAAGGAAGAAAGTCTTTTTCTTCTTCTTGAAGAAAGGAAGAAAGTCTTTTTCTTCTTCTTCTTCTTCTTCCCAGTGTTGCCAAAATGTATTTACTTTGTATTGTTAATGTGAACTCGTTCGCGTGCGCTCTCGCAGTAAACCATTTTCTGATTACATCATTTCCGAGCTAAACGTTGCCGTTTACTGCTTTCGTATATACACACATGAACAACAACAACAACAAAAAAACAACTTGCTATCTGGACCACTTTAGATAGAAATGTTACACTGATAACCCAAATGTGAAAATGAGATTTTGATTGGAAGTAAAAACATCATTTAAAAAAAAAACTAGATTTCCTGCTTTAAAAAAAATGAATGGATCTCGAAATAAAATAAGTCTTTCATAAAGTTGATATATGAGCTACTTGTTAGTTACGCTATCTAGTTCTAGAATGTTGGGGAATGGTGCATTAGGTGTGTTCGTTTGTACCTTCTACCTACCGCAGAATGGAGCAGTTGGACTCATTTTTCATTTTTTTCGACAACACCTCCTACCCCTATTTCCATGACCACCAGTGATGGGACCAAATAAGCAATTATGGTGTGGAAATCTATTGTGTAAAAATCACCAAGCACTGTTTACATGAACACATTGTAAGTATATTTCTGTGGTGCACAGGTTTGATAAGGCCATCACCGCACATGACTTGACATGTCAATGAATAACAGAAAAGGCATTTGAAAAATAATAGTTTTGTGAAATAATCTTGCCACGACTGTCAAGATTATACAAAATGTCAACAATATAAACAAATAAGTTGCAAATAATCTTGCCACAACTGGGCTGCTGCCCATGTCAACAATATAAACAAATAAGTTGCTACCGCTGGCCACAGGCAGTACACCAGGGTGCCACATTTGTATGTACATACATATATACAGGCAGTACACAAATGCCACATTTGTATGTACATACATATATATACACACATATAGTACATTAACTACATGTTATGTATGTGTGGTTCATGCATTTCATTAGTCAAGAAAAAATGTGCAGGAAAATATATTTTGGAATATGGAAACATGTTTGACATAATGACACTTTCAGAATTAACTAAAATAAGGACAGTCCTGATGTTTTTTTTCTTCTAGGATACCCCGGCCCGCAAAGTTACTTAAAACGCCCCTGAAAGAGGCGTGCGATGCAATGAAAAACACAGCAACACATCATGCAGCGTATTCACATCGTATTCCAGTCCTCAATAGTAACATTACATACCTTCGACCAGTTAAAGGAAAGTTCTGCACTGTTTTTTTTTTGTTTGTTTGTTTGTTTTGTTTTGTTTATCTACTCAAAACCAGAATCCCCGTTCAATTCAGGCTTCCACGATAGCAAATAATATTATTTCATTTAATTAATTTTTAATCCCATTTCTTTCTTTTCTATGTGTATTTTAAAGAAACAATTGAGACAAGTTTTAGGTGTATTTGCTGACGAGAAAGTCGAGTTGAACTGACAGTAAATTAAAGAGAGCTTCGACCACGTCGAATGACAATACGAAATGCCCTATTCTTGCAGTCACCGTGCAGCGTCCATTAACGTGTATGACTGAAAGTATAAAGCCATGACAACAACCTTGCGGTAATTAACTACACTTGCTCTATTTGCCGACTACACGAACCTTCGCATTAGACATGAAATAAACCTGACAGTAATGATGTAAAAAAAAAAAAAAGAGGGAATATGCCTCTGAGTCAGAGTGCTGACGCTCGGGTTCAGGCTGATAGGCGGACATGGCTCTATGGCTACCGTTGATGCAGCGAACGGCATCATTTAAAAGTCTATATTCCCGGCACTGGTATCCATGTCGTTCAACACGCACTGCCACTAGGGCACACAGACAGCAAAACGATGATTCTCTTTCGTGCCTACCTTGTTCAGCCGGGTTCCAGAGCTGCGACAAGTGGTAGGGGTTTATGTCAGGATAGCAAAATTCTCCCGGTAAAATGAAGCGTCTGGCCCAGCTGCAAAAGAAGGAATGTCGTTGTTGCCCTCTCTCTGAAGCAGCAAAAGCAGAAACAACACTAGCCTCTCGGCTTGACCGTGAAGCTAGTGACGACAGGGGGAGACTGCTGTTAATAAGTACTGCTTGTAAACATAGACCAGATAGATCTTCTCGCGAGAACACACACACACCCACCTAACCGGACAGACAGACACACATACACACACACACACAGTATATATTATATACATATATAATACACTTACACATATATACATAATTACATATGAGGCAAAATTAAGAGAAAAGGGAAATAGTTACTGATATAATTATTTAATATTTAAATATAATAGTAATAAATACCTCTTCTGTATTTGTAAAATATGAAGCTAGCATCATGGCCACCTGGTTGGGGTTGTCATGTGTCCTTTAAGTTAAACAATGCACTTTCAGACAAACAGTTAGTTCGTTTTTTTAGGACAAACTCCGACCTAATCACTTGTCAGGTCCAACAGAAATAATACATATAATAAATAACAGGTCTCAAAAGAACTGCAATGATTTCCAATATGAAACTAAATGGATCAAAATAAATACACAAATAAAATGTATATATAAATAATGTACAATGTTGCAGAAATATACCCTAAATGGCATAGTAAGGACATGCTAAGATAAGCAACATTGTTTTCAAACAGTTTATAAGTATATTGGAGTGGACTGTTATGATAAAAACAATGGATTGCATTTTTTCCCATTAAAAATAACTAAAAACGAATTCATTCATTCCAGCCCCCCCCCCCAGAAATATACTATTAATTAATTAAATTAATAGTTTCTGATCTAAACATCAGAAGCATAGCTATAAACAAATATATTGATAATACAAAATAGTAATAATAATAATGACGAAAACATTTCATATTATTGCTGTAGAAATGGGTCAAATAAACCAGTGAGGGACGGTGAGCGAGCTAAGCATAGGTGAAGGACCGGGAGTTAGGATTCGATATGGATCGGTGGTTCTCAAACTTTTTGTACTCTATACCACCTGAGAAAACATTGAGTACCACCATGATGACCAACATTAGAATATAGCATATATGTATATGAATTTTCATACCACTGGTAGTGCACGTACCACAAGTTGAGAACCACTGATATAGATGATGGAAAGGGGGGGGGGTCGATTTGAAAAACGGAGCTCGGTTGAGCAATCGTAACTCAATGTTCCTCGTATCATTAGGAAAATCTTGCAATAGTTGCTTACTCGTAACATGGAAAACGTATTTCGGGGTAGCTCGTAAGTCATATAAGGAAGCCCCTTTATTTGAATGCATATAAAAATCAAATTTCTTTAAAAAAAAAAAATCATTTGGTTGGATTTGCAGGCCCTTGCTAACTGAATATTTCAATTAAAAAAAAACATAAATCTTTGCAATTATTTTACCACAGTGACACAGAAGGAACAATATTATAACTATTGTGGGTTTTGTCACTTGAACTAAGCAAATACCTGGTCAGTATAGCATAGAAAACTGTTGTTTTCAACTGTGTTGAAAGAAGGATGTCATCCTGATATATGTATAGAAATAACCTGAAATCATCTGTTTATATTGTTTTCTTTACCAGAGCCTTTCTGCAATAATAATTCACAATTCGAATTATTTTCGTGACATACCCGTAGACACAAACGCAACGGCTGATTATGTGTTTTCTATGAAGGTGACTTGATATTTGTCCCTTGTCTGTCGGTTAACGTGGTTGTTGTACTGCAGCATTCCTCTAAGAGGGGGTGGGGCTCTGCAGTTGAAAGATTTCATCAACCTAAGTGCCTTGATACTCCAACTGTCCCACCTCTCTCCTCTCTTCAGGGTATATTAAAATGCACACACACGCACACGCACAGCCGCACGGAGACGCGCCACACACACACAAAACCTGAGAGCAGCACATTTTCTTCCTCTTTAATTAGTTGCTGATAAATTCGATCGAAAAACAACTCTTTAATCATGTTTTTCCTATCACTCTGTGATCTATGAACTCATCATTATTTAGAATGCTCATGGCGTTTCCCTTTATTTAGTCCATACAGAGGAGGGGGCTAATGGCTGTGCCTCTTCTGAACCAGTATTGAAACCCATTTTTCATAGTGTTCTGACCATGTGGTTTAGAAAAAATGACTTGACTTTGAGTTGACTCCCAGAGCCAAGGACAACTGAGGTTCCCATAAAGACTCTCAGTGACGGGAGTATCAATTCGGTGCTATTGATACATACTCAGGAGTATCGATGGAGTATTGATTACTCTCATAAGGTATTGATAATAATTGTTTAAAAAAAATGCACGTGTCAGTTCCTCATCTTCCAGGGCGGTACTTGGGTTGCACATGTCAGTTACTCATCTTCCAGGGCGGTACTTGGGTTGGGGTGGTTGGCTGGGCACGGTGAGGGGGGAATAAATGTACCACTGCTGTAATGCACGAATGATAACAAGCCTCCGGTCACTAGGTGGCAGCAACTCATACAGTGGTTTGTACAGATGTACAAATATACATGTTATCAGGTTCTCAATGGTATTTCAATTCGCAGTGGTGTGGGTCGGAGAGGGTAAGGGGCAAAGGGTCCCCCTCTTTGGGGACAAAAATATTATATTGTATAATATTATATATATATATATTATATATAATATTAAGAAAAAAATAATTGAGAACCACTGTTCTAGGGTAATAAGAACATTGTGAGAGCAGTGACTCCATGCGAACGAGTACACTAGACATCCTTGTACCTTAATAGTAGCAATTAAACTATTTGGATTGCATTGTGTAAATGCATGTATGTATGGATGTCTGATAATGGCCAACTGATATTATCATCAGTCAATGTTAGAATCGTTATCAATTTTTTTCCTCAATAATGAAAACCCCATAATGCAATCGCATGGGTTTTACCCATATGATGTGACCTAAAAAGAGTGAAGTGAAAGTGAAAGTGAAGGTGAATTACTGTCATTGTGACACAGCACACGACTGCACACAACGAAAAGTTGGCCTCTGCCTTTAACCCAAATGGCTGCATATGTCGGTTGATATCGGAATTGGAAATGAAGTGTTTGGACAACATCGGCATCCAACATCGGACATCCCTACTAATATGTTATGAACAATGCATAGTAAAGTTGTTGAATGCCGGCATTTGTAATGTGTTCTATTGGGTTAGAAAATCACACTAAATATTGTTATATTATAAAAAAAATTGCCAAATTAGTAATCGATCCAGTCTGTGTGGATCTGTACCCATGTTGTCGCCCCATCACTGAGACTATTGAGTGCCTGGTAATATTTATTTATGTATCTGTACAAACCACTGTATGAATTTCTGGCACCCAGATTATCAAAATAGATTAACAAGATGAGTTGCTCCGCTGCCATCTAGTGACTGGAGGGTGGATAATCAGGGTATTGTATGGTTTGTACAGAAAAATGAATAAATATTACCAGGCGCTTAATAACACACAATTTTGGTATTGGTTGATATCGGAATGAGATATTAGGTTAACCACTTGGCATGTCAACTGTTAAAGCACTGTTAAAGCGCTTTGAGCTACATGACTGTATCAAATGTCCATCCATTGAACACTGCGACTTAAACAATGATGCGACTAATTTGTGGATTTTTACGGGCTAACAAAGTTCATACCGCTAGCGATCAGTGACTTTTCTGGTAGGCTACTGTGTGTTGTACCAGTAGCGTACAGTATGTCTGTGAATGGTTGTGTGCGTATGTGTGCGTGGGGCGAGAGAGAGAGAGAGCGGTAGTGAAAGTTGTTTCTGTTTACCTCTGCTGTGGACAAGCACAAAGTGAAGGGAGTTAGCCGCGGAGCTAATGTTAGCTTGAGCCCTGGAGCAGATCACTAAGTCTCGCCTGTGCATTCCAACTATGGTCGACGCCGAAGAAAGCAAGAGCTAACGTGTAACCAGCTGTGTTAGAGGCACTGTTCTGAAAAAAAAAACATTTATTTAGTTAAAAGTATAAAAAACCTTTCTGTGTAAATATGCCATGTTACGACGTGGACACCTACAGCTTATATAGAAGTGTGGCCTATATAAGTGGGTGCGCTCAATATTCTGGAAATTACAGTACTACGGTGGTACTTAAGTGGTATGAACACTGCATGTGCTAGCGATATGCGGCTAAAACACCACTGACATGCTAAGTGCTAGCAGAAACTTGATCCAATAGTGTCTTATGGATGATGAAATTTACTTAAAACAATGCACCAGTATTTCCAAATCACGGATCACGACTTCCCATTGTACACTGACAGATATCAAAAACCCCGACAAGTCAAACACAACTACTATTTTACCCTTGAATGCTCTCAAAATAGATTTATTTGAAGGTAAAACACGCTCACAAACAGCCGGTTTCTTTTGCTAGGTTAGGTTCATTTCATTTGTTTCTCTGTCTGAACACGCCTCCTCCCGTTACAGTGTCTCAGCATAATGGCAGACCAGCTCTAAGAGAATTAATGGCTCACTGCACCAACAGTGGTTGTATAATACGTAATCAATATGATCTGTCTTAAAGTGCAGACACAAGTCCCAGTCGTCCACTCTGCTGCACACGAATACTCAGTGTTATCGGCGTCACAACGCTACAATGCCAATAACGATTTCTCCCGTCAGGCTGTTCTTTCTTTCTGTGATCCCAATGCGTGAGTGGTGTCATATACACCATGACGTATGCTTACTAGTGGCCACTGAATGTATGTACAATATATTGTACTTATAGCAGGGAAGCCCACACTTTTTTGGCTTAGCATCCACTACGGAAATGAGCAGGCTACAGTAAAGTGATCTGCCTACAATGACAGGGTTAAATATATATATATATTTATATATATAAATATATATATATATATATATTTATATATATGTACTGTATATAATTAAGTGTGTGATCGTGTGATAATATGTCTATGAAGATTCTCAGTCATCCAGGTCATGGTCAAGGTTGAAAAGTTCTGTTAGGCAAGTAGCTTTATTCTTTCACACCCAGAGTATATATTTGCTGTACTCTCCACCACCAGTTAGAACTGAAGAAGCCTCTTGGATGAGAGGTGAAATGTCTTCTTTTAGAAAATTCACGTCCAGTTGCCTAACAGAACTTTTCAACCTTGACCATGACCTGGATGACTGAGAATCTTCATAGACATATTATCACCATATTATCACACGATCACACACTTAATTATATACAGTACATATATATAAATATATATACGTACATATATTTATATACAGTGTTCCCTCTCTATATATATTTTGGGGGGGGGACTTTAAAAATGTGGATTCTCTTTTTGCATATTGAGATAAGTCCATTTGCGAATGATCGCTGGTAGCTTTGTTTACCTAGACGAGATCGCACACGGCGTACTATTGGCTAGTACAACACGTACTCTGTGTACTATTGGCTAATTGAGCGTGCTCTTCTGTTCCTCACGCTGATTGGCTGATGCATCGTAGCATCTCTCAGCATCTCCCCCCCCCGTCTTCGGGCACCCTTCCCCCTCCCTTTCACTTCCCCCTGCGCAACTCTACTGTGCATATAATTGTGTGGGAAAGGGTAATACAGTCTAGGGAGGGTTGATAACAGTGTAGGGTAAAAATATTTTATGAAAACTTTTTACATACTTGGATGAAATGCTCGGTTCAAAGTTTTTAACCGGGTTACATGTGGTACGAAAACTCGGCAAAACAAACCGAATTATGTTTAGAGTTACTTTTCTTTTACCAATTCTTCTGGACTTTTTTGGTCTTCCCAAAACAAAGTCTGTTTTGTTACTGAAATGCATGGTTCACTGAGAAGCCTACACAAACTCACTAATTTATTGATTTATTTATTTTACAATGTCATATTTAGATCAGCCAAAAGCTGCCTCTTTTTGCTCCGATGTTCTTTCATTTTCCACCACACACACTCACATAGAATATTAGCATTTAACGCCAGCTCTACTCTCCAGGTTGATACTTTGTGTGCCTGCCGCAGGTCAGAATGGCTACATCCAGCAGCCAGTAAAACTGCTTTCTCAGTCCAATCGCTAATGGTGTTGAACTGCATGTGCACTGCTGATCCAGAGCTATTATCTAATTGCTACTGCAGTATCAATCTCCTTCTGCCTCCTTCGGTCTCTCCCTCTCCTTTCCTCATATATTTAATGCATAATATCTGTCCATCACTGGCAAATTTACTGAGACGTATGGACTACCCTGTACTCTTTTTTTTTCTTAGTAAAGTGTTTCTCGTTTAATTTAAAATTTCTTCTTTTTTCTTCTATATATTGTTTCTATGTATTGTTTTTTTTATTCATCCCCTTTTGACCTACTGCTTTCAATTTAATCGCCCCCAGGATGTACAATACTAAGTGTCGACTTGGCCAAGGCCCCCTTGGGGCGGGGCTCAAAAAAATTGGAGGGAAAAAAAAGATAATGTATATATACGCGTAAACAGCCGCAATAGATAAATATTTAAGTGTCCTAAGAACATACCGTCAGACAGCTGCAACTTCAGCATGATGAGGTCACAATCTGTGTCTAGACCTAACCTGCGACTTGCATCAAGCTGCTCTGCGGCTCAAGCTAACATGTACCTAGCTAGCGCAAAATGGACAGTTTTTTTTTGTAGGATTTTCTGAGCGTTTGCAAACGGGAGTCCCTGACCAGAAGCTAATGCCGTTTGGGGAAACTTGTCATGAAAAAAAGAACCTCTTGTCTAATAACAACACTTTAATGTCTTAGTAGAGGCATTTGTTTTCTACTACAAAGAGTTTACATATTTGCATATGTAAACGTACGTATGTTCTTTTCCATTTGTCGATTTCATTTGTTGTTGGTACCGCAATTTCATCCAATGTATTTATTTATTTATTTTTTTCACTTTCATGCTTTTTTTCTGAACAGTGCCTGTAACACAGATGGTTAGCTCTTTGCTGCTGTGGTGCCCAGACCGTAGTTGGATTTCACAGGGGAGACTTGATCTGCTCCAGGGCTGAAGCTAACATTAGCTCCGGGGCTAACACACTTCAACATGACTGGGCTCAAACTGCTCTCCCCCCACACATATATACGCACACAGTCATTCACAGACAGACATACGCTACTAGTATAACACACAGTAGCCTACCAGAAAAGTCATTGATCGCTAGCGGTATGAACTTCGTTAGCCCGTAAAAATCCATAAATTAGCCGCATCATTGTTTAAGCCACAGGGTTCAAAGCGTGTGAAAAACGTAAGAGCATATAGACCGATATTACGTTATAATGCAATTGCAATTCAACTGCTTAATGTACATTATAGTATGGTGTCGTATAGAACTAAGCATTAGATTAGATCCATTTAGAATAGGGGAAACTGACACAAAGCACAAATCTACCTGTTGCAGCCAATGGCATGAGTCTGACAATAATCTAACAGTGCATTAATGGATACTTGGATGACTCGAGCAGAATATTGCTTTGATTATTAAGCTTTGCCAGGAGTATAAATAGAAAAAGCTGTTCTTTTATGACGGAGTTGATTCGACAATAAAGCACCTGTCCAAACTTACTTCAATAATAAAAATAGGGACAGTAGCGCAGGAGACAGCGGCCTACATTCCAAAAATACCAAAAGTACACAGCCCCAACCGTCACCCTCAAAACAAAATTGCAGGTCTAAAGAATTTTCAATGCTTTAATAACATAATAATAATAATAATAAATTATAAGAATTCAATAAACATTAAACAATAATATTAAGATTCAACGTGGTGCTTTGGCCAAAAGGCATTGTCATTGGTGTGGAACCCCAGGGTTCACCTCCTGGGCAAGTTTGAATCCCAGTTAGGGTGGTTGGTACCTTCCAGTGGACTCACCACCTACAGGAAGGTTCAGGGGGGTTGGTACGGTGCAGTGTGATTTGGGTGGCGGTCATGGAGACTGCTGCTCCCGCGACCATGTAATGGATGGACGAATTAGTTAGAGTTCTCAGAACACCTGGGATGAAGAGTGATTTATTGGTTCTCGCTCAGACAGGCTGGGATTTATATTGGAGTTTGGAGTCTGCACTAAACCCATCACCAAAGTAAGCAGGGGCAGGCAGCTCAAACGACATGCCATGCTCAGTGCACCTCAGCGGTAACTTGGCAGCCTGTGGATTCGAACCTGAAAACCTTCCGGACACAAGTCTGCTTCTTTAACCACTAATCCACTATTGCAAAGTTCCAAAGTTCCAATTGGCTGGATCCCGTAATGTTAGTATCTGAAATGAGTCACGTGTACAGGGGGCCTCAATCTACATTGGAAATTGTATTCCTGTAGTGCCATGTCAAAATTGACATACTGCACATAAGCACTTATGTGGTTGTAATGGCGGTGGTAACATCATAATCTAGGACAGGCATTGGCAAACTAAGGCCCGGGGCCCAGATGCGGCCCGTTCAGCTTTGTAATTCAGCCCGCCAAACCTGTCCAAATTATATAATTGGACTGTATTGTGATTATATTTCTGCCTTTTTTCTGCAATGCTCACATTTTCTCCAGCATTTTAACCTTCATGCATGACTTTTACATGTCATTTATTTTAGTTCAGAACGCTCCATCTATCTGCTCCTGACCCGGACCCCCCTGTTCAATTTTAGGACAATTGCGGCCCACAAGTCTAAAAGTTTGCCATGGACAACACCTGATCTTGGGCATTAAAACATTACATTAAAAACATCCTACTTAACGCAACCCACCCTGCAACTGTACCGGGTCTCTCTTTAGCCCACGAGTGTCCGTGCAGAGCTGGATCTGGCACAATCCAGCCATAAATCTGATAAGACCAGGGTGGCATTTGATGAGTTTGAGGAAAGTGTTTCTTTATTGTTTCTCTATTTTATTGAAACACTGTATAGAATATCACGAAAACAAGAAGGGAAGTGTGCTGTCGAACTCTTTATTGTCCTCTACACAGTCTGACGAAACCGTGAGACTCTGAGTCTTATGCTTAAGAGCCTTAACGAACGGCAAAAAGTCTCAAAGAAATGTGTCCTCCTTGTCGAAATGTTGACGCTAACCATGGACCCCCGTCAGGGAATTTAGGTCAACTTGAAGTCAAATCGTTAGATTTTTTTTCCCTTTGTCAATAACATGTAAAACGTTTGCCCACCAACTGATGTACGGCATTAAAACATGACATTAAAAACATTAAAACATCCTGCAACTGTACAGGGTCTCTCTTTAGAGTCCCATGAGTGCGCGCTTTGTAGATTTATATGTAAAAAAAAATATGTAAAACGTTTTAAATTTTAAAAAAATATAGTATTATCAGAGAGATTTAAAATAAATACACAGACAGATCAATCAGGACTTGAAGCCGTTGCGGAAGTTAGATTCTTGCGCCTTAATAGTGTGACTGGCACAACGAAAGGATTGAGAGGAGGGAAGAGTTCGAGCAGGTCTGCCTCATCCGAATCACTTGTTGCATCCGTTTCCGACGAGTGACCATCAGTCAAATGCTGGTGTCCACCGTCCGTGGCTCCAGCGCTGTCATCGGTTCCCACGATGTTGTCATCGTCGACTGTTGTGATGCTGCTTCCACTGCTCTTTTTGTCTCTTTGAGCGTCGACCCGTTTCCTCAGGCTTTTAAACAGCTTTGTGATCTTCCCCCCCGAGTCAGCAGCGGACGAGAAGCAGGTGTACACATGGAAAAAAAAAAACAAAAAAAAAAAAAAAAAAAGAAAATATTATTTTATCGCTTGATATCTCAGACAGAATGAAATTTAAAAAGCAACATCATTTTCGGTATCATGTCATTTAGAATGATCTGAAAGCTACTACAAATCACAACCGTTTCTTCCATGAACTGATGCTGCCCTCTAGTGGATAGCTCGGGCAATTGCCTCTATTGTCACTGCAAACACTTGAAAACCATGCAACACGAAAACCATAAAATATAAGTAAGGCTTTCTAGCACCTGATTTGACTTTTTTTTAGAAGCATTAAAGGCAGAACAATTAAATACTTTTCTGCTAGTTGGCAGCAGACGGCTACGAAAACTAAAAAAAAAAGGTTAAGCAGAGCTGTTGAAGAAGAAGAAGAAGTGAGTGTCTTTCTTCAATTCCTGCCAGTATATGAGCGTTGTCTTCAACTGAACAGACAGTGATTTTTATCAATTATGAGGTCATTTAAACTTGAAGATTATTATATTTAATTACATATACTATTGTGAGAGGCAGTGGTGCTTTGGCCCAGAGGCAATGTCTCTGTCATTGGTGTGGAACCCCAAGGGTTCACCTCCTTGGCAAGTTTGAATCCCGGTTACGGTGCAATTTGATTTGGGTGGCAACTGCTGCCCCCGCGATCCGATAAGTGGATGAAAATGGATGGATACTATTGTGAGATTTTCATTTGGTGGTGTGCCGTGCAGTTTTTCCTGATAATATTTATGTGTCGTGGCTCAATAAAGGTTGGGAAACAGTGCACTACAAAAACTGTTGTTTATTAGGGGTAAAATGGACAGCAAAAAAAAATGGCACGTTTACCCTGGGAAATATATGTGTGCAAAAGACGCACTATGCTTAGGGTCGAGCAATGAATGAATGTCAAAAATCAACACTGCAGAAGTAGAATACAACATCCAACTGTCAGACAATACGAGTCCGGAGCATCGCATAGGGAAAAATAAACGAAAAGAGGGAGAAGCCTTTGCTTCGACTTGAGGGTGGGTATGTTGTTAACATGAAAGTACATAGCACCCGACTTGCACTGGAGATAAAAGTATTTTCCAGCAGGATCCATTAATGTTCATTAAATGTCAGGCCTTTGTCTATGTAGTTTGGTTAAACGGCATGTGCGGAAACTGACCAGATAGTGGCGAAAACTTGTTAATAAAGGTTTAGCGGTTGTTATGGAGCAATGTAGTTTACCATCGCCACCTACTGGGGAATCTAATTCATAACAGGCATAGCAGTTAACAGAGAGTTGATAGACTAGAAATGTCTGTAGCCGATAAGTTTGTTGACAGAGGAAACATTTTGAAATACAAGACTGAACAATGAGCAGGTTTCGACCACAGTTGGCAATAATAATAATAATAATAATAATAACAACAACAACAAAATTGTGTGTAAATCTACAGTTAGCCACCAAATTGTGCAAACCCACATCAGAACCTTTAGTGACAGACCAAAAACTCTCAAAAGCCCATATTTATATGCGTTAATGAATTTGTGGAGATTAATCCAATTAAATATTTAACAGACTTTAAGGCGTTGCAGAATTGTAGAATGACAGATTTATTATAACCAATAACTCCATTAACATATTTTTTGTTGCTTTTTTTTTCTCTTTATTTTTTTTTTTTATCAGAGCCTTCCTACCAAGGAAGACAATTAAACAAAACCATTATAGGAAAGTACGTGAGGCTAAACGAGGATAAGGAGATGAAGTCCAATCAGATCCCAGTTTGTCCTGCACGATAAAGGGCCAGAGCCGACATCAGAAGTATGTTTGTGATTAGAAGATAGGACATGTAAACAGAGCATCTGTCTTGGGAGCATAGCGTGGCCACGACATTTCTGCTGCTCTCTTTTCTCTCATTTTCTCCCTCCCCTTTCATTTCCTTCCTTTCTCTCTCTCTCTCTCTCTCTTCCCACTTTGAGGTTTTGAAAACAACTCAACAAGACCTAAACCTAAATTCACAGTGAGGTTCCGGGGGGGCGACTTCCAATAGAATATGGCACACTGAACATAAGTGTACCACTGCTGTAATGCTTGAATGATAACAAGCCTCCAGTCACTAGGTGGCAGCAACTCATACAGTGGTTTGTACAGATAAAAAATATACGTTATCTGGTTCTCAATAGCAGTAGTTTTGTAATTCCCAGGGGTGTGGGAGGGACGGGGGGGCACATGACAGAAAATAATTGAGACTGGTTTAAATAATGTGTTTCATCAAGCTCTGTTACCTGTGTAAGATGTTTGTGGAATGCAGTGTAGTCCAGGAGAGAAAGTTGCTCTTGGAGAGACATCAGCAGGTTCAGGACAATGGCACTCTCTAAACACCAATAACATTAGAATATTATTATTATTATTATTATTATTTAAATGCATTGCCAGTGAACTTCCTGACAAAAAGAATAGACACATTAAGCAGAACTGGCATTTAAATACAGGAGGGTCCCCTGATGTAGGACATAAAAACATCACAAGAGTCAGACTTATGCCTGGGAGCCACAATGAAGGGCACAAAGTTATTTTCAATTTGTTTTAACTTTTTTTGTTGTTGTCAGTTTAACAGTTTAATAAAAGCAACTTCTCAAGTTGATGACTAATCTTTTTGGAACAATCATGATTTCAATATGAATCTAAATAATCGTGATTACGATTTTTGCCATCAAGCAGCCCTATTATCAACTTCCACTGCTATGCAGATGATACACAACTATTTTACCCATTAACCCACACTATACCATTGATAGTATGGGAGGCTGACACCGTCTCTTTATTCAGTCAGAATTAAAATCTTGCTTTTTAAAAAGTCTATTTGTAGCCCCGAGGCAGGTAACTGAACACAGGCCCCAGATTTCTTCATATTAAAAATTCATTTAAATCACCCCCATTGCCAAATACATGATCAGTGTGACATCAAATGTGGTTTTTCAATAACATTTGTAAAATGAATATCCTGTTTTACTTTATATTTTTAACATTAACTCAAAAATATTATTGACGTGTCACGTCATGTTGAAGAGTGAGTCGGTTATATAGCTGTGAAAACGCTGTTTATGTTCTGTTGTGCTTCCCTGTTTCTGTTTACCTCTGCTGCGGACAAGCACAAAGTGAAGGGAGTTAGCCCCGGAGCTAATGTTAGCTTCAGCTCTGGAGCAGATCACTAAGTCTCCCCTGTGCATTCCAATTACAGTCGGGGCGCCGAAGCAGGAAAGAGCTAACGTGTAACCGGTCGTGTTAGAGGCACTGTTCGGAAAAAAAGCATTAATTTAATTAAATGTAAAAAAGAAAAAGAAAAAAAAAACCTTCTGTGTAAATATCCCAGGTTACAACGTGGACACCTGCGGCTTATAGAGAAGTGCGGCCTATATATGTAGAATTATTGTTTTCTTTTTGGGTGGGTGCGGCTTATATTCAGGTGCACGGAAATTACAGTAGTAAAAATAACAGTATTTTCACCAATCATATTTTAAAAAAAACAGATGGACTCACCCATGGGTGTGAGATGACATTTTTCATCTGGCTTGTCAGTAACACTCAGGTAACGATAGATGTTCTCAAAGTTTACCGCCCTCTTGTCCGTGCAGGTCTTGGAAACATCCTTTTTTCTTTTGCTGTTGACTCTTTTATTAGATGCACGCTGGAGCGTGGGTGATGTGGGAACAGCTTGGGTGGAAGAATTGAACGGAGCTGAACTTGAAGACGTAACAGATGATGATGGAGATGTGTTGGAGTATGGAGTGACAATGGTGGCTGAGGAAGGCACAGCTGCATGTGGACTAGATGATGGACTTAAATCTGAGGTGGTGCCTGATGGTTGTTTTGAACCATCCTGCGTTATGTGAATACTTTGAGGCTCGACCTCAAAGGCAGAGTCGGTGGCTGGGGAGACTGGGTTTAAAAACTGTGGTGTACATGTTTCTGAATCCTCCAGGTGAGATGCAGCGGATGGCACTTGTGAAGCCAAAGAGTTTCTGCCGTTTTGCCCTTCTCCTATTGGTGAATTGAGTGATGGATATTCGTGCAACATGGGAGGATCTGTATAGCTAGTGCCAGAGGGTGAGCCTAAGGAGAGAAACAGGAGAAAGTACAATCAAATAATTACATTGACCCTTTGATGCATGACCCATGATATACTGAGTTAAATTTTTTTTACTGTTTTTAGACATTAAAATAAGAACTGATTTGGTTCTGTTTTTATACACCAAATTTTCTTTTTGAATGTTGACACAATTATTCTGCAGTTGCAAAGGCTGACCACTGTATGGCAGTGTTGGGTGATTCTCAGGTGTACACTGTAGAGGCTTATATGCAACACTGCCATCAAAACCTATTCTTATCATAGAAAATGACATTTTCATAGCTGTCCACTGTAGTGACCGTCATGCATGATGACTGACTGCAAATTGCCAATTGACCAAAAAAAGAATAGTAACATGATTATTCATGTTGGTTGTTACACTTTACTGTAAATTTTTTGTTATCTGTTACAGTGCTGTGGTGTTGTACGTTGAGGTCCAACCAAATGTGACCTCTGCTTCACCAAAGTGAACAGTGGGCAGCTTTAAGCACCTGGGTAGAAGTGTGTGGGGACGGTGACATGCTCAGAGCACCTCAGTGGTAACTTGGCAGCTGGTGGACTGGAACCTGAAACCTTCTGGACCCAAGTCCACTTTCTTAACCACTTAAGCACTGCACCATCTAGTGTTGTACTTGTACTTGTACTTGTCCTGAAGCTACATAATAAAAAAAGATGCAAGGTGGTTCCATACCTGGGACTGGCAAACATGTGTTGTCCTGGTCCGTGTCTTCGTTTATAATCTGCAGAGGAACATTGTTCTTTAGAGTGAGAGGCTCTGTAGATGATACAGTCAGCATCTAAAAGAAAAACAAAAAGAAAACAGTGAAAGAGTGGACTGGCTATTTATCTGAAAAGAAAAACACTTTTACACAACCATGCTTCTAAATTTAAACTTTTGGCATTTTTATGGTGCAATTTTCATTGAGGGTATGTGAGGGTATGTACGTATATGTATATATATATGAATATTTATAACTTGTACTTTGTATAAATATATTACTAATATATATCCTATATTATATTATATATGTATATTAGCTCTGAGTAATAATGGTTGTATAAATCTGGTCGACACCCATACACTAATATATCTGCTGGAACTGCCCATATAGCTAACTGTTTATCTATTTGTCTATCTTTCTATATTCCTATCTATCTATCTATCTAACTATCTATCTTTCTATCTATCTATCTATCTTTCTTTCTTTCTATCTGTCTATCTAACTATCTATCATGTCTAAACATGTTCGAACACAAGGCCGTTGACTGATACAACAGTGACACCTTGTGGCGGAGGTGCACAGCTGCGCACATAAAACTGCCCTTAAGCCATCATAGTACTTGATGACGCTGATTGGATACATTTCATTTGCTCATTTGTATATCACATCTAAGTCACAGGTCAGCTATTGGCTGACTTTTAAAAAAACTAATTGTGAGGGAAAAACGGCCAATTGCTCGCTCGATATTTAAATAGGCCGTTCATGTTGTATGACGCACTATTAATATAGAAATTGTGAGGAAAAACAGCCAATTGCTCGCTCATTTTAAATAGGTCGTCCATGTTGTATGACGCACTATTAATATAGTTGTTCCAAAATTATTCACTAATTGTTACATTGGTACTTATGTACAGTATGTGAGTTCCGACCTACGTCTAAAGTCGAGTTTTGTCGCGTGTCGAGTTTATGTTGTCCATAATTTGAATAAATGTAAGCCTTGCTCAATAAAGAATCAGCGACTTTACTATACCCGAGAGAAAGCAGAAGAAATGGACTCCTCAAGGGTCCCAGCAATTTGAGAAGCAAGACATGTCCACCCTTCAATGGGCTGTTTGGCCGTCTCTTTTCCCGCCTGTTGTTGTTTTACAGTTGTGGATGCAATCGTGATTACTTTATTCGTCAGCGACTCTATGCAAGACTGGATCTGAAAGATAAAAAGAGACGAACACATTTGATGACATGTATCTTATACACGCACTCTGGTAATGGAAGTAGAGTGCTTTATTTGAAATTGTACACCTTATTAAATAATTTTTATATTAAATGAATGCAACAGATGATGATACAATGGAGGGGACGCATCAGTGTTACTGAGAGCTGTTTAATACACTTAAAACATTGTATGTTTTAAGTGTATTAAACAGTTATATTAAAACATTATATGTCCATTGTCCTCTTTATTTATTTTAACTCATTAAAGTACTTCTTGTAACCTCTAAAACGCATCTGTCTCTAGAACTTGACGTCTGTCCTAACCAGCTCACTTTCTTGGTTAACTGTTTTGATAACACAAAGTAGTAAACGTGCTGACGTCATGCGACGTCTACGCACATTTTTACACACAGTTTTCTAGTAGCACACAGGGTTAAGAAACCATATTTAAACACAGAATTTGTTTGCCAGAAGACTCTAACGTGATACCAAGACCTTTATTGAGCATAACATCACAGACGTTTAATAGCAGACTGAATTAGACTCTTAAATTAGATTTAGGAAAGACATTTTTCCTCTTACCTCTGACTCTGAGCGGTTCGGCAACCGCTCCGCAATAAACCCGTAGTCGATGTCTTCTGTTGTCGACTCATGTCTGCTTTTCAGTATTTTCAGAGCCGCGATTAGCTCCTTCTGCTCCCTTAACTGCCATTTGTTTTCCTTTTTCTCTTTTAGCACGCATGTAACTGGTTTCACTCGAAATCGAGGCGGTGGCTTCATATCGACCGGACATGAAATACCGTCATTTACAGCGAAAGTCGAAAAAAGTGGGGGAAAAGTGACAGGGCGGCGCTACATTGAAGAAATATAAAGAAACGTTTATATCTGAATCCACAATGACAGCAAAGACTTTGAAACCTATGCATTTTCCGCTTCCGCTCTTCTTCTCCCGGTGGCTTAGATGGAGATTTGGCAAAAAGACGCATTACCGCCACCATGTGTGCAAAAAGATACAACTTTTTTTTTCACTCCATACATTGTTAATGTGGTAAATGGCTATTCAGTAGATATTCCAGTAGATATTAATATCTACTGTACATAGGCGTATACTGGCCTCATTCTAACAACCATCACTACAGTGTTCTTATGGTACATTGTGTTTGCTAACTGCATTAGAAGGCTAATTGACAATTAGAAAACCCTTAAAAAAAACTTCTACAATTATGGCAGCACCGCTGAAAACCATTTAAAAAAACTTGTATTGTAATAATTATGGCAGCACCGCTGAAAACCATTTTGCTTGTTGGAGAAGCTATAAAACTGGCCTTCCTTTGAGCTAGCTGAGTATCTCAAGCATCATATTTGTAAAAAAAAAAAAATTATCATGGTGCAGAAAGGCAAAAATGTAATGTTCTTGCATGTACACTCAGGGTCTCAGGAAGTTAAGCATTTTGCACAGACCATCTAATTTTTTCCTCTTTTTTTGACCAAATATTTGCATTTCTTGCAGATGGATTCTTGACGTATCGAACAAGTCTCTAACATGCATGAAAAGCACAAACATATATATATGTCTATGGTTAATTAATATCCATCACCTTGTTTTGGAACTAACCACATTTAACAAGCAAACACTTTAATCGTTCTTTCTTTTATGGATAGTGGTTCCCAAACCTTTTTACAGTGCGCCCTTTCTTTCTTTTTCTTTTTTTTCTTCACTTTCTCTCTCTCTCTTTCTCTCTTGCACTACGCCGAACTATTCCCCTCTGTCACTGTACTCGAGCCGGGATCGGGGAAACTAATTTCGTTCATCCCATGTCTAACATGTGTTGCAATGACAATAAAGAACCTTGAGTCCTTGAGTCCTTCTGGCAGGATTGAAGACACTTTTATTCTTACAACTGATATTCTAAATAAATCACACAAAATATAATGGCAGGATTTAAGACACTTTTATTCTTACAACTGCTATTCTAAATAAATCACACAAAATATAATTACAAATCATTTACAAAGGTGCCTGGATCCTGTTTGTTTCAACCTCCTTCAGGTATAAACTATAAATTAGCCGCATGTAGCAAGTAGCGGCTTATAGTCCTTAAATGATGGTATTTTGAACACAACGTGACACATTTATCATTGGTACCTTTTTGAAATTTGTTTTCCCGTTACTAATTTGCCAATTTCAACTTCTATTCTTGTGAGTCGCTTTGGATAAAAGTGTCTGCTAAATGCATAAATGTAAATGTAAATGCGCCTGGTCAATTAGAATGACAGAGCTGTATTTCCTCAGTTAACTTTAAAATATGCAAAGATCAATTGTAAGCAGATCAGAGGATAGTTAAGGTTGAGCTGTTTAGAGATAACGTTACGAGGCAAGGTTTAGACATGTGATAAGAAGAGATATGATAGTGGCTATGATAAGCAAAGGATATTAGAGAATGCCAAAAGAAAACAGAAAGACCACAAAGGAGATTCGTGAATGTCGTGAAAACACAAAAGCGTAACCATATATATATATATACATGTATATATACATATATATAGATATATATATATATATATATATATATATATATATATATATATATACATATATATATACATATATATAGAGATATATATATACATATACATATACATATATATACATATATATATATATATACACATATATATGTACATATATACACACATATATATATACATATATATATATACATATATATACATATACTGTATATATATCAAGCTTAACTGATTCACTTCTTTTTTCCGTATAATAATAAATGTTAAAAATCCAACTGTACATTTTAGGTACATCCTGAGCAGTTTTACTTACACAAAGGATAATCCAGTAAAGTGTTTTTACAGTTTGGGATGCAGTGAACCAATGACAGGTTTGCTGGAGCAGAACTCTTTCCACCAGTGTGGACGCTGCAGCACTTGGTGGCCATTCACCACTGCTGACCACAAGTTCTTGTAAAGCTGTGTGGAGAAGAATTCGATAGATGAGTACTAATGTGCTGAAAACATCGCATCTGGTCATTGGGCCGTAGTTTGCCCGTGCTTCCACTAGTAACCGTATATCCTTACCTGACCATCAGCATTTCCAATTGGTGAGTTCAGGATGAAATCAGTTGGGGCTATAACATCCACCAACGCCACAGCATCATTTTTTAGCTAGAGGTAAAAGGATAACACACGAGTAGTAAGTAGTAACCTACAGGACCTGCGAGAACATGTATGATTAGGTTTTTACACACACACACACACACACGCACACATGCACACACAAACATCTATATAATAAAGATAAAAATTAATAATTCACTGATTGATTAATCGGAATTAAGTGTGAATATATATACTATATATATATATATATATATATGGATGGATGGATAGATAGATGGATGGATGGATAGATGGATGGATGGATGGATGGATGGATGGATGGATAGATAGATAGATAGACAGATAGATAGATAGATGGATAGATAGATAGACAGATAGACAGATAGACAGATAGACAGATAGATGGTTGGATGGATGATAGATAGATGGATGGATGGATGATTGATGGATGGATGGATAGATGGATAGATAGATAATGGATGGATGGTTGGATGGATGGATGATTGATGGATGG